ATCGGGTTGCGGTAGAGATTGCGCCATGTGCGTCGAGACAAGATTCTGAACTGGCCAAAAAAGCCTACTTTCTTGAAACCCTTGAGTTTGCCTGCTGCAACAAATCCATTGACCTCTTGGTTTCCATTTGTGCCGTTGGCTTGGTTGGCGTTTGCGACTGAAGTAACAATGTCTTCGCGAATTCTGGCGGCGACCTCGGAGGAGGCGTAGGCGTTGATAAGAAGATCCAAGTTGGTTCCAGTTGCACCGTTAGCAGGAGGTGGGAGCTCATCTGGATCTTCGAGAATCTGAGGAGGTACACCGCCCTGTTGACGAGTAAGTTTCAGCCATTGAGCCTTGATAGCACCTCGACGATCATAGGGTTCTTCGTCCGTCTTGGGTGACATGGCACCATCGTTGGTGGTAGTAGTAGAGGTCTTCTTTCGTGTGAATAGCTCGCGTTCCTGCTGCTGCTTGATAGATGTCCTGCGCTTGCCCTTGGGTCGCATCATGCTAGAGTTGCTGGGGCTTCCACCAAGGTCTCGCTCAAGCTCAGAGGTATTGATGCTAGGAATAGACTTGACGGCGATTGCACTGCTTGCACTAGTGGTGAGTCCATCACGGTTGAGATCACGGTTGAAGAGAGAGCTGTCCTCGTCAATGGGCTGACGTGCTGTACTTGCGTGCATGGTAAGATCGACAATGTAATCAGCGATATTGAAACCAGGTGGGCAAGTGTAGCCAAGCTCGTCAAAGTAGGATTGGCAGTTCTCAAAAGGTCCAGAGTAGACAGTACGGCCCTTTGCGAGCAGAATCAGCTGATCAAAAAGGGCTACGATGTTGGAGCGCGGCTGGTGAATGGTGAATACAACTGTTCGGTTGTAGTTCTTAACCAGATTGACAAGACACTCGACGACGTTGAAAGCGTTGAAAGCATCCAATCCACTGGTTGGCTCATCGAGGAAGAGAATGCTGGGCGAAGTGACAAGCTCACAGGCAATACCGACACGACGCTTTTCTCCTCCAGAAATGCCACGACCACTTTCTTCTGAGCCGATCTTCTGGTGACGAATGTGATAGATACCAAGTTGGCGTTCTACGTCTTCAACCCTCTGCTGTTTTGAAATAAGGCTCATTTCCTTTGGCAGGCGCAGTAAAGCCGAGTCAAGAATAGTCTCGTGGACAGTCAGAGTAGGCAGCAGGGTATCCTCCTGGTCGACAAAGCCGATAACGCTTCGGAACTCGTCATCGCGAACCTTTTCTCCGTTGATGTAAAAGTCACCGCTGTCGACACCTATTTTGCTCTTACGGGCGAGGATGTCCAAGAAAGTAGTTTTTCCAGCACCAGAAGCACCCATGATGGCGAGAAGTTCTCCAGGATGAACCGCACCAGAAATTCCGGAGAGAATTTGCCTGCCGTTGAGATTGTATGCCACGTTTTCGAAGAGGAAAGAGGCTGGCTTGTGGTCGGCTAGCAGTTTCGCATCCTCGTCCTCCTCATCGTCTGATAAGTGGATGGGGCCATATCGCTGCGCCTCAGCACGATGGGTGAGGTACCAGATAACCAGAATAGCTGCGACGATAAATAGAGCACAGCCGGCAATAACGCCCGCAATGAGAGGCGTATTGATCTTCTTGATGGGCCTTTCGTAACCGGGTACTTCAGTCTGGTACAGACACTCGCCAGTGTCGCACTGTAGAAAGATGCTCTCATCGCCAAAGATGCTCGAAATAAGGTCATTCATGGCGGGCTCAGAAAAGACGCTGCCACTCTCTTTCTTGTTAACGGCTGAGATGCCCCTAAACTCTGCGGGACCCTTGATCGACTCCCTCAAGAAGTCGCCAATATCCACAGAGCCATCTTCTCCGCAGAGCATCCTATCGGGGATACACTCGCACTTGATGTTCTCGCATCGGTACTTGGTGATGTTGCGATCGGCTTCGGCGGTGAAGTGGGAGGCGCACGTGTCGAGGGCGCAGTAGAAGGATTCCCTCTGGTCAACCCAGACTGCGAAGGTCAGCAAGATGGCGAGAGGGTGCACGCAGGTGTAGGCAAAACTTACACTGGAAGTTACACTCTTCGGCCTCGGCGTTGCAAGAAAAGGTGGCCTGAGGTTTCTTCTCCTTCAAAGTGTCGAGGATCTTTCTGTTGGTAATGTCACAGATCTGGAAGTTTTCCTTGACCAATTGGCCATCCTTGTAGCAAACTCCGCCTTCGCCGTCAGGCATCATGGCGTTGCAAGCATCGTTGGTCTGGCAGACATTGCAGTTGATGCCAGACCAGCCTTCTGAGCATTCGCATTCCTTTGCGCCTCCTCTGGGCGAACGGTCCTTGCCATCGGGCAGGGCACCGCATAGGGGCTCTGAACAGTCCTCGCCACCGAATCCAGGACCGCAGTTGCATCGCCCGTTGGCCTTGCTACAGTCGGCAAACTGCTTGCACTTGAAATCCTCGAGGTTGCAGTTGAAGCATGGGGGGCAACCATCAGGCCTATCGCCATAGATGGAGAAGAGCGACTGGGGCGACTCGGCGAGAGAGTAATTTGCAAATGTCTTATGAGCGTTAGATGAGGATGCCATGCCCAGCACGACAGCTGCAGTGGCGGCGAGCGACGTCGCCCAGTTTCGTTGGCGCATCTTGTGTGTTTGTGTGTATGCGGCGCAGAGCCAGCGATAGCAGGCAGCTGCGATCGGACCGACGCGTCGCCGTGATAGATGCGCGACAGCAGTAATGATAACAACTGACTGTCGAGGATGGAAATGCAGCACCTGTCAAAGGAGCGGCAAAAGAGCTGGAGAAGCTCGTGTGATAACGACGAGGGACAGGACACGGCCACGGCCACGGAGCTAGGACGGCGATGGCGATGGTGACCAACACAAGGCGGGTTGCTATCATATGGCGATTGCGCCATGGTGATTCGCCGACGAGGCTGGGCCTGATTCAGCCAAGCATGGTAACGGACCGCCCGACCGAGGCACACGCCGCTCCCAGTACCTGGCGCCCGCGTCATCGACTTGTTGCTGCCAACATGCAAAAGACGACTTCGGTGCCTGCGCGGGACTATTACCACTTGCTCTATACTACCGTGTTTTAGACCATCTTCAACTGCCATGGCAAGCATGTCCCTAGTTTAGTCGCCGTTGGAGCGAGCCATGTGGCAAGAAAATGCCTGTTCGGCACGCCCTGCGAACTACATAGTAGACCCGCTCGCATGGAACTATCCCGAGAACTATTTGAGCGCCCAGTGCCAGACATCAGAATAGACTCCTGGAGCATCATTACCAAATATTCCTTCTGCCTACATTCAGGAATCTCATCGCATCCAGCACAACATGGTCAAAATCGACAAGTTCGCAGTCGAGTCCGTAAGTCGTTCCCCGCATTTCTGTCATCTGATGCGGGGCGAAACTGACCACTCATAGTGGATGGACGCATATGAGACAAAATGCAAGTACAACGTTGCCGAGACATGCTGTGCGTCAATCTCCGTCGACCAGCTACGCGACCTGTCAGAAGATAAGGACAGGCAAGTCTTCGATACTTCGCGTGTCCTCAACTATGGCGCAATCAGAGGAAGCGACGACCTGCGGAACAACCTTGCCCGGCTCTACTCTGTAAAAGTTGCGACACCACTCCCAGCCGAAAACATCCTCACCACTGCCGGTGCCATCCAGGCAAACTACCTGACTGCATACACTCTTGTAGGACCTGGCGACCATGTCATCTGTCACTACCCCACCTACCAATCTCTCTACGATGTGCCCAAGCAACTAGGTGCCGAAGTCGATCTATGGAAGGCCAAGCCAGAAAACAACTGGATACCATCAATCGAAGACCTGAAAGCCCTCATCAAGCCAAACACCAAGCTCATCGTCATCAACAACCCCAACAACCCCACTGGCGCAGTCCTCGGCAAGACCTTTCTCCAAGATGTCGTCGCCATTGCCTCGGAAAAGAACATCACCATCATGGGTGACGAAGTCTACCGCCCCCTCTTCCACTCCATCGGGCCTCTGGATAAAGAATTCCCGCCCTCTCTTCTCTCCATGGGCTACAGCAACGTCGTCGTCACGGGCTCCATGTCCAAAGCCTACTCGCTCGCCGGCATCCGCGTCGGATGGATCGCATCACGCAGCTCGGATCTGATTGAGAAGATTGCAGACGCACGACACTACACCACAATCTCTGTGTCTTACTTTGACGAGCAAGTCGCAGCCTACGCTTTGCACTCTTCGACTATCCACGGTCTGCTTGCGCGCAATATCCAGCTTGCAAAGACAAATCTGGCGCTGTTGGAGAAGTTTGTGATTAAGAATGAGGACGAGTGTGAGTGGGTTAAGCCTGTGGCTGGTACGACGGCGTTTGTCAAGTTTCACCGTGAGGGTAAGCCGGTGGACTCTGTGGATTTTTGCAAGAAGCTGCTTGATGCTACGGGTGTCATGTTTGTACCTGGTAGCACGTGCTTTGGCGAGGAATTCAAGGGGTATGTGAGGATTGGGTTTGTCAATCAGACGGATGTTGTCAAGGAGGGGTTGGATGCTGCGACAAAGTTTATACGCAAGAACTTTGACGAGGTGGAGTTGGCTGTGTAACTGCTGTGTCTCCTGTGATATCGGAACGAAAAATACAGTTTACACTCGTGGAATATGGATATGCTCGTCTCCGTAGTCATTGATGCTACCATCTGCCTTGTTTTCCCGGTCTGGCTAACCGCCTCAGCCACACCAGCCAGATCCGCTAAGCCACACCCAACCAGCATCCCGACTGAGTCCAACAGCACGCCTTACAAGGCAACCCATACTGCGGCTCCTTGCTACAGCCTCTCAGCCACCCCCCAACCACCAACACATCATTCTGCCTGCCTCAAAAAACGAAAAAAAAAACGATAAAGTAGCCCCCGTCTCCCCCCCCCCAAAACCTCCTCACTTCCATCTCACCCACTCACACGGTGACACTTCCCAATCCCCAAGCCAAACCAAACCAACCCACAAGCCTACCCTCATGTCCTCACCCGACCCTCAAAAAAAAGGACACCTTAACCTCCGTCCAAAGCATCGCCTCCACACACCCAGACACCTCCACCACATCCCCACCCCCATCATCCTCTTGGCGCTCAAAACTGCACCTGCACCTGCACCGCTCCAGCAGCCCGCCCGAGCCCGGAAAGGAAAAGTGGCGGGATGCGACACTGAGTGAAAAGGAGCGGTGGAAAGATTGGAACAAGGCAAAGGATAAGGAGCAGATGAGAGGGTGAGTACTTTTTTTTCCTTCTTCTCTTCTATATGTTTCTTGTTTTCCTTTGGGGGCTGACAGTGGAATTAATAGATCGACGATTGGGGCTTTTACTGAGTTTTACAAGGGAAAGGGGAAGACCGGGTATTGGCTTGATATTAGTGACTGATTCTTTTTTCTTTCTCTCTTTTGGGGGAAGAGAGGGATGGAGGATGGAGGAGTTTAAAGGATGATACCCATTTTGAGCGTATTTGATTATTTTTTTACATTGCGTGGTGGTTGGTTATACATTTCATATATGTACAAAGGTCCATAATCGTACAGTAGTAGCCGTTTTATTCTTCGGCAATGAGTCTATCGACAGCTGGCATGGCAGTTAGTGTCAGTTTCGTAGAAGGGGTTGACAGGAAGAAACAAACTTACCTTTACCATCCTCCATCAAATACCCCGAACAATCAATCTTCCAGTCTTCGCCTTGCACCTTGACTTTTGCAATGCCGAAGCGCAGGACTGCGAATTTAAATCGCAAGAAGAAGTTTGTCCACTTCTGGTGCACCCAGCGGGCTGATCCCTCCCATACTCTTGCTGCAATGTTCAAGTGGCCAAGGTCATCCCAGAGTTTCTGCTTTCGGAACCTTTCTGCCTCGAGCAGCTCCCGTACCATGGGCTCCGTCTTTTCGCTGATAGTCGCTTCTCCCAGTTGCGAGTAGATGACGCGCTCTTTGGACCACGGGGCTGCCCGGACCGTCATGCGTAATTGTATGGGTCCGCCCTGCATACTAGGTATGACTTCCAGTATCCTCATGCGATTTGTAGGCGCTGTGCAGATATAACACCCGATGGCGATAAAGGCCGCACCGACAACGACATAGGTAGGCCGTACAAAGAACGGCACTTCTCTATCCTTGATATCATTGTTGAATTTCATGGAGAAGGCGCCGACGCCAATCCACAGGGCGCCTGTGCCGTAGACTTTGGCATAGTACCATTTGTTGCGCGGGGCCTGGTATATCAAGACGGGCTGACGGGTCTGGGCCACTTGTCGCAGGACGGGGTCATTGCTGACAAAACTTGACTTGAGGTTGCTTTTGTATGTGTATTGGTAGCGACGGAGGGCGGACGAGGCGAAGAAGCGAGCGCTGCGCTGAGCCGATGTGGGTTGGAAGAAGGACTCTGGCGTGCCGAAGAGGGCGGCGCGGAGTGATGAGGGGAGGCGGAACGTGTTGGTGCGGAGGAAGGCATCGAAGCCTCGGGGAAAGACAGGCATTGCAGGGAATGGGCGAGATTTCACTCTATTATACCACTGAGCGCATCGTATAGCAATTGACTGCGGCCGACTACAAGTCCGTCTGTTGTCGTATGAGCGGCTTTGCAACCGTGGGATTTTGGTGTTCCGATGGTCTGTAGAAAATGTAAACCCAGCAAAAACGGGCGGTCCAAGCGCGCCCGCTCGACACCTCCGAAGCTCATCCCGCGCTCAACATTTCTCATCAGCGACGTCCGACCGCCTGCCAATCCTCCACCCACACAACCGGTCAATTGACTCCCCATGGCTTCGCTCGCCGCAGCATGTAGGGTTTCGGCACGCGCTGCCTCACAGCAGTTGCGCAGCCATGGTGCTCGGAGAGGTAAGAAAGAATCGTTACACCACGGGGAATATAGAATGCTCACGGGAATGGGATACAGGCCTTCATTCGAGCCCGGCTTCACTTGCCGCACAAAACTTCAACATGCCTGCCCTTTCCCCGACAATGACCGAGGGCAATATTGCGACCTGGAAGATCAAGGAGGGCGATTCCTTCTCCGCCGGTGATGTTCTGCTCGAGATTGAGACCGATAAGGCGCAGATGGACGTCGAGGCTCAGGATGATGGTATTCTGGCAAAGATCACCGTATGTTCACGGGAAAGGCTGGGGTGAATAGTCGGAAAATTAACAGCGAATACAGGTCGGAGATGGATCAAAGGCAGTCAAGGTTGGCACGCGGATAGCCGTTACTGCAGAGCCTGGAGACGACTTGAGTTCGCTCGAGATGCCCGCCGAAGACAGCCCCGCGCCAAAGAAGGAGGCCGAGGCGTCCAAGGAACAGCCCAAGCAATCTGCACCAGTACCCAAGGAGGAGCGGACATCTGCACCACCCGCAAAGTCGGACGCTTCAAGCAAGGCCTCGAGCGCCAAGGCTTCAAAGCAGACCTACCCACTATACCCCTCTGTACAGCATCTTTTGGAAGTGAACGGTCTGCCCAAGGAGGAAGCCGACAAGATTCCTGCCACTGGACCCAACGGCAGGCTACTCAAGGGAGATGTGCTAGCATACATTGGCAAGATTGAGAAGTCCTACCCCTCAGAACTCGCTGGTCGCTTCTCCAAGCTTTCCCACCTTGACCTGAGCAACATCAAGCCCATGGCCAAGAAGGAGACACCAAAGAAGCCTGTAGCCGAAGCACCCAAGGTTGTCGAGGACTTGCCCGTTGAGCTGGCCATGCCCATCTCCCTGAAGGCAGTCATGGAGTGCCAAAAGCGCGTCAAAGACTCAATAGGCGTATTCCTCCCTCTATCCACCTTTGTCGCTCGCGCGGCCGAGCTCGCAAACGAGGACCTCCCCAAGTCCAAGACGGCCAAGCCATCAGCAGACGAGCTCTTTAACGCCGTCCTCGGCCTCGACAAGGTCTCGGCAAAGTACTCCCAGGGCAACTTCTTCCCCCAAATGACCGCACTTCCTGCCACCAATCTTTCTGCTCAGCAAGCCCCGGCACCAAAGAAGTCCGACATTTTGGATATTCTCGCTGGAAAGAAGCCCAGCCCACCCCGCCGATCTACTTTTAGTGCAGCACCACAGGTCGCAGGTCCCCTCAACGTCTTCAGCATTAGCGTACCCAAGGGCGACGAGAAGCGCGGCCAAGTCTTCCTCGAGCGCGTCAAGGCTGTACTTGAAGTCGAACCCGGTCGATTGGTTGTGTAAAGAAGAGTGGATATATTTGTTCTGCCCCTTCTTTTTTTTCTTTTTCTCCGCAACCACATACACTTTATGTAGCTAGCCGTCTGTATAGTAATGCATCTCCTCCACCGGGTTGGGCCAAAAGGTGTTGCATTTTCGTATTTATGCCTGTTATTCTTTTTTCTCCCTCTCTCTCCTTCTGATAGACGCACGATACAGTATGAAATATGGGCATCTCTATATATATCCAAACAGAGAATTGGAAGTGACAGAAAGTACTTGATTTACCAGTGTAATTTCGCACTCGCTTTCCCCTCCCTCCCATTTCTCGAACAATGCGGGGGTTTGGGGGGTTGGGGAGGGGGGGATTTTATCCCGCTCAATCCAATAAACCTTCCCCCCCCCCCACCGGCCAGCCTTTTTTTTTTTACACTTATAACGTGCCGATCCCGTGTCGTTAGTCTGTCGTGTTTTGTCGTGGAGAGAGAGAAAAAAAAATCCCGCAATTCTTACTTTACTAGACTAACTACTGACGTGATTAAATGGCGCAAATGCCGGTGACCTGAAATGGATGGGTTGCTTGGGGAAGGGGGAGGGGGGGTCTATGTTTAAGTCGTTGGTCTTGCTGTTTATTCTGCGGTATTTCTTTCTTTGCTTTTCTTTTTTTCGTTCCTCCCTGTTTTTTGGGCCGTTTTACGTGTTGCTCTCTTACTGCCACGGGGCGCATGTGAGGTGTGTGTGCATGTGCAGTGGGTAGTTTCGAATGAGAAAACATCAAGATGAGCCAAGTTTTTGTTTTGTTTTTTTCACACACAGAGGGTAAGGAACACGGGTGTTTCACGGATGGATAGAGAGGCCAGGGTATTGGTGAGAAAATATCGATTGATTGGATTGAACTTTGTTTCATCGCCATAACTCGCCTTTTTTGGTCTTTACGATACTTCCTTCCGCATTCTACACACTTTGTCTCGCAATTTGGTACCAACCTCCACCACGCCCCATCATGGTTGAACATGATGACAAAAAAAGAGTTGTTGCAAACTTTTACAAACAATGGGAAACACATCGCTGATGTTTCCCGCTACCACTCCTACTCCTTCCTTCTTCTTCTTCTTCTTCTTCTTCTTCTTCTTACTCACCTTCATCGTTTCAAGACTGTTTAAGCCTTCTCACCACCAACACCGTTCGAATCTTTACTGTAGTATCGACCGAAGACACGGTCCTCAATCGCCAAATTCTTGTCAACCTTTCCGGTTCCTCTCCTGGCTACTTGGCGGCGGAAGTAAACACGCTTGCACCATTTCCACAGCTCAATGCCTGCAAAGAAGATGCCGGTCTCAATAAACACGATGCCCCACTCCCAAGAGATGGGCGCATGCTTGAAAACGACCGTGTTGAGCGTTGGGATGTAGATGAGCGGGAAAAGAAGGACGAAGCCAACAATAATGGCCCAGAACAAGAACTGGTTCCTCCACACATCTATCATCCACTGAGTGAAGTAGCGTTTGCTGCCAGGCTGCATACGGAAGAAGGATCGGCGCATATCAATCATCTCCCACGCAAGGAAGAGAGCAAACCATGTCAGACAGGCGAATGTGCAAGCGCGGGCACGGAACACGAGTTCGCACTGCTCAGAATACGTCTCGTTGCAGCCAACGCCGAGTTCGCCGTCACCAAATCCATACACGACGAGGACGAAACTGGCAAGACAGAGGAGCGTGATCCACAGCCCGTAAACCACCATATCGATTAGGAATTCCATGGTGAAAATTCCCGTCTTGAGCGACTGAGGCGGCCGCTGCAAGATATCAGGAACCGCGCGTTCGAATCCCAGCCCCATGTCCGGAAGACCAGATGTAGCCATGATGATCCAGACAACCTGTACAGGAGCAAGCGGAAACACCGAGAGCCCAGTTCGATCTTTGAATGCAAGACCCACAAGAAGCGTACCAGCCTGCGCCACGTTCTCCGCTAGCACATGCAGCACGAATTTCTGGATATTGTCAAAGATGCGGCGACCTTCTTCGATGGCGGCGAGGATAGAGGCAAAGTTATCGTCGGTAAGAACGATATCGGAAGCCTCCTTTGCAACGTCCGAGCCTGCTTGACCCATGGCGATACCGACGTCAGCGCGCTTGAGCGAGGGAGAATCATTGACACCGTCACCAGTCATTGCGCAGAAGCGGCCACGGCGGTGCAGAGCCTCAATCATACGGACTTTTGTGCTTGGTG